AACTGTACCAACCCGATGAAGTTAAAAAAAAAAGGAATTTATAACATAATATGTGTATGCATGATAAATATACACCACCAGTCGAAAGTGTTAGAACGCCTCAATTTTAACATTTTTGTTGAAAATTATGAAGTTTAATATCTCATTGCACTCTGAAATGAATGCATAGTAAAAAAAATGTATTCTAAACTTTTGACTCATCAAAGTAGCCACCTTTGGCAGATATACCAGCTGAACACACCCGTGGCATTCTTTCTACAATAGAAGTCAAATATTCTTCAGAAAGTTTTCCCATAAATGTGTTGCACTTGTCGGTTGCTTTGCTTTCACTATTTTTTTACCAGTTCATCCCAAACCAGCTTGATGGGGTTTAAATCTGGAGACAGTGCTGGCCACTCCATGTTTTCAAGCATACCATTATGTTCTTTTTTTCCTGAGGTAGTTCTCGCATAGTTCAGACTTATGTTTTTGGGTCATTATCTTGCTGCAGGTTGAACCCCTGACCAACTAGATGCATCGCAGAGGGTATTGCATGACACTGTAGAATGCTTTGGTAGCCGTTTTGGTTCAGGGTGCCTCTCACTCTGTACCAGTCACCAGCCCTGGATCCAGCAAAACAGCCCCAGACCATCATACTTCCTCCTCCAGGTTTGACAGTTGATGCCACACACTGTGGAACCATCCTTTTGCTTACTCGACGGCGTACAAGGATCCTACGTGATGAACCGAAGATTTCAGATTTTGATTCATCAGTCCATAATACTTTCTTTTAGTCTTCAGTTGTACAATGGTGGTGTTTCATGGCACAGCGAAGCCTCTTTGTCTTGTTCTGATATATTAGCAATGGCTATCTTACTGCAACTTGTCCTGTCAAATCTGAGACTTGCTTACTTCGACCACTATTAAGCTGTGCTTGAAGCTGTTGTCCTGCGAGCTGCCAATCACGGAAGCTGTTAATGCTCAGAAACTTGACCTTTGACTCAGTTGTGGCTTTGGGTCTGCCAGACCTCTTTCTGTCAGAGTTTTCCCCAGTTTCTGACTGCATTTTGATGGTGCAGGAAATTGTACTCACGGACACCATGACTTTCTTTGTATTTCCTCCATAGGAAAGACCTACATTTTTAAGTGTTATGGTGGTCTGTCTCTCTTCCATTGTTTATTGCCTTTTTCTCACCCTTTTTTGGACCAACACACTACTTTCTGCAGTACAATACTGTTGAACCGATGCTGACGAGGGGATGGTACCACAGTGGGTTCCAACACTGCTTTCATAAAGACACAGGGGGTTGTAAGTAATGCAGAAAAGTTGAAACACTTGTAGAAATTAGTAACACCAGCTTTCAAGGCTTGATCAACCTCTATTGATGCAGAACAGCTCTAAAAAAGAATTTTTTTCAGGGAACCCATTTTGTGTTTCCTGAAAAAGGCCTTTTGTACAATTCTGCAATGTTCATTATTTTTCAGTTTTGGATAACCCACCTTTTTTTAATCTCTGGCAGTTTACCAATTACCTTTGTACCATTTCAAGCTATTCATTTGATTCAAACTACTTTTGCAGTGAACTGATTCAAATAATTTAACTGAAATAAATAACTTAACTTAATAACTTTTAAAACTTTTAACCAGTATTGTATAGATGAAGACTTGTTTATTCATTTAGTCCCAGTCCTGTACTTTCTAGCGATGGTGTGTGCTTACACAAGTTAGAACGTGTATTTAGTGTTAGGCTGCCAATGTGTAATTAAACTTGATGGTGATGAGAGGAAATGCAAACACTTTGAAATCACAGTTTAAATTCTTGCTAAATTGTTGCAGTTTTTCCCCCCATAGACATTTAATGCATCATCACAGGCCACACCGGTGTTGATGATTCACAATGAATCTCACTAAAAAAACAGTGTGAATATGCATGTATATACCATAGCATAAAACATGTACAATCAGGGGTGGCCACACATGCTAATCATCCATTCATCCTCTTCCACTTCTTCAATTCAGGGTTGTGGGGGTACTTTAGCCGATCCTAGCTACCATAGGGTGAGAGGTGGGGTACAGAGGACAGACAATCATTCGCACCTATGGGCAATTATGTTGAATAGATAATAGGTTGTGATGCTTAATTTACAGAGGGAGACATACTATGCCTCGATTTCCACTCCTGTTTTCATTCTGGTAGGTCTTCATCTCCAAAAAACATTACTCTCCAGTTTTCTGTTTTCTGATTTTAGCTAGGTCGCTCTGAATCACAAGACTTCAGCATCTCACTTGTCAGAACATTCCTCTTTGAAGAACCCTATTCATGTTGATATACCAATGAGCTCTAATGGCTTCTATCCAATGGGTCCAGTTGCAAGTTGTCTTCAAAGTATTCCACGTGTAGTGACCAAGCATAGTGCACACACAGATTACCTCCCTAAGGCAGATACCTGAGCACAACATTTGAGTCACTTATGCTCTAAATACACTGCATGTTATAAGATGAATACATTGCTTCTAAATAGGAGAAACACTATGAAAACTAAAATAAATTGTCCGATAGTGCTAAACCTTTATAATATTGCTGTATTTATTAGTGTTTATTGTAATAGTAATGTATTGTATGGTAATGACTGTGAATATATCCAGTGTTTACTTTGATATAGCTGATAGTCCAGTAAACACACTGATTAACTAATGGTTATAGAATTATCAGCTGTTATTGAATGTAAATAAATAGTAATACTTTTCAATGTATATAATGTTACAGTGCTCAGACTCGTTGGACACAACTATAAAACCTTACAAAAACCTAACCTAAAGCAATTGCAACCTGAATAAACACAAAATTCACATTTTAATTTATAATTGTATTTATGAAAGAAATGTAATTCTTTAATCACCAGTGTCAAAAAGTAATTGTGACCTTTCCAGTAACTGTTACTGGCACTTTACTGTTACTGTTACTGAGTGTTATTATTATTGTTTAATGCAAAATGTGTCAGGTGATGAAGTACAACTTCTTTTTAATACAAATAAGTTTAGCCATGTAAGCCTATATTCTGGCTGTAAAATATTAATTCTTTAAATTGATGTGCCACATCTAGACAAATTTAGAGTCAATCCAATAGAAATAGTGCCTTTCTTTAGAGCACTTCCAGAAATTTAGGCAGTTTTAGTATAAAATACCAGAAAGGGTGTTTGGATCCAGATTTGGGCTAGACATTGTCTTGTTTCCAAAAGTTGATTCTGTTCATCTGGACGTAGCGTCCAGATTAAGAATGCATCAAGACGACATTTGTCTTGGTTTATGCCTTCCATGGATATTCTATAATGACCCAAATCACATCAGAATGTCTGCTCTGATTGGTGGTCATGAATCAGTCCTCTTAATATAAATATATAAATGTTAAAGTAGGAAGTAGGGGAAGCCCAAGATGGGATGTAGAGTTGCAGCTTGAAGGAAACAACTGCTTAGATGTCACATAATAATTTGCATTGTGAGCTCCAGTAGACTTTACTTTGTGTACAAGTTGAATTGTGTTGCTGCTCTTTCTTGATTTAGCCAGTCGAATTTAAAAAGGTAAAAGCTAATCTTGTCTAACTCCTAGATAGTATAAAGCTAGTATAATTCACCTTCATCACCTTAAAAATGAGAAGCCAAATACTTCAGAAAAGTAGAGAGTATTCCTTCATGGGGGATAGGATTATAAAAGACTACAAACAAAGACTGCAATATATTGTTTAAAAAATAAACGTCACAGAATTGCCACCACATGCCTAATTGTCCAAAAGAACACACCGTGTCAAGCAGTTAATGGTCGTTGCCTTCGCTAATGTTATTTTTTCAAGTATTTCAGTTGTGACCTATGTATTGTTGATAGTTTTTTTGCTATTATTATAATCTGTGACTATTTTAAAGTAATAATTATGTAGTATTATTTTAAAATAATCCCAAGATTGTAACATCAAGAGTTTTGGCTTACGTGCATTACTGTGAGTTTCCATAGTTATGTGTATAGTATATACACAAAACTTAGAGTAACTCAAGACAGTTTTTTTCCAGGTCACAACCATATTTCTGATGGTTGTTGCAAAAAGTCTTAAGTCGATCGGAATTGCTTTACACTTGAGAAATGCCAGGCATTGGTTACAGAGTAACTTTTAAAAGATCTTTGAGAAACACAAAGTCTACATTGTATTGTGCTGGAAGTAGATTTACAATAACTACAAAGGGGATAAAAGCATACTGAAGGGCTGAATAAGCAGAATATTTGAATGGAGAAATGAGTACAAACACAACTGTAAGTACTAAGAAAGCAGTGGATGTGGGTGAAGCAAGAGTAAACACCACAAGTATTGTGTAGACTGTAAGATAAAATGCTCTTTGGTGTACACTATCTCATCACTTTCAGTATAAGATTCCAGCTGTAGGTGACATTATGACAGTATCAAATGTAACTTTGTTTGTGTGTGCGCGCCTATGTGCGTGCTAGCATGTGTGCGTGTGTGTTGGGGGGAGGGTCTTGTTTTGGGTTTTTTTTAAGAAGAAGTATGTGTGTGTGAATGGGTGGATGACTGAACGCGTAAAGCGTTTTGGGGTCCTTAGGGACTAAGTAAAGCGCTATACAAATACAGGCCATTTACCATTTACCAAGAAGTAACAATAAGGTTTTTCCTTTGATTAATCAGTGGTTCAATCATCTCACTGTTTAATGAACAACAATAAATAAACCTATTTCTGCATTTTTCAGGTGGAAATTGATGATGAATATGCTAATCGCATTTGTGGACTTTGTGGAGATTTCAATGGCAATTCAGACCTCCGCGATAAAGGTGTATACTCATTTCATATTAATGTGTTTCATCGGTAGTATGCAAGAGTTAGAATGTAACGATTAATGTCATCAGATACAGGTCAACAAATCAGCCCCATTACGTTTGGCAATGGATGGAAAACCGCTAGTCCAATTAATTGTGAGGACCTCACTGAAGCGGTACAGACATCAGGGAAGACTGAGAATATGACGGATTCATGCAAGGAGTTTGTGAGTTTTTGTTATCCAGCTAGCTTTAAAAATAGATATGTGGTGATGTGTATTTGCATAAATCCTTTTACACATATTAACAATGCCTCTTTTTTGTCCCTTTAAGGAAATCTTCTGCAAAGACCTCTTTAAAAATGAATCCTGGAGCTCCTGCATTCCTCTGATTCACCCTGAGCCTTACATTCAGGCTTGTGTGAAGGATATGTGTCACTGTAGCAATTTAAATGGCTCCTGTGTCTGCAGCACACTCTCTGAGTTCTCTCGACAGTGCTCTCATGCTGGAGGACAACCTCCCAACTGGAGGACTCCGAAGTTGTGTGGTAAGGTTTTATGTTGTCATTTTTATTTCTTTCTCATGAGGTTGACTCTTGGACATAAAGAGTTACATTTCCCTGCGAAATTAAATTATTAAACTTGCATTTTGAGAGCAATTGGTTTTCTTACTACCAAATTTAACAATGGCAATGTAGGACGCATACGTAGACTGAAATGTGTCTGTAACAATACTGAGTATTTTATGCACAGAAGAGTGATTGAACTCATCAGGAAACTGAAATCTAGCTGGTAATAATCTAAAAGAAATCTGGCATTCCCTTAGTAACACTGACATACTCCACTCTTTATTAGTGTCAGATGCACTACAAATATCTTGCAGTTCATAGTCTGAGATTCTGAAAAGATTGTTGGTAATGTTGGCCAGTGTTGTTCATGTGGTTTGATGTTCGGACACTTTTTCTTAAAATTAATTACTTACATGTAAAGTGAATTAAGAAGAAAAAAGATTATTAATTCAGTGGTACAATAAATAGTAATAAATCTCATCCATGTATTCTACGTATTCTTTTTTTAATTTCGTTTTTATTGACATTCAGCAATCACTGTACAGTATAATGTGCATTAACTTCAATAATTTGTTAAAGATATCTGCCTACATATCTATTTTTCTTCTATTTTTAACAGAAAGACCATAAATATGAAAGAAAGAAGAAGAAAAGATTAGATAAGATTAGCGAAATAAAAATCTGGTCTGAGTGTTATTATATAGTCCATCCGTTTCTGACATGATACAAACAGGTCCCTCTTGTAATTCCCATCTGTTTGTCTATATATTCTAATCTTCGCAGCTAAACATTGTCCACCCACGATGGTATATGATGAGTATGGGTCTCCTTGCATCAATACCTGCAGATTCCCAGACACGAGTTTAGTTTGTGAAGATCACAATATAGACGGCTGCTTCTGTCCTCCTGGTTGGTGCTGTTTCTTTGTACTCATCATGCCTAAATGTTTAAGTACCAGTAATATATACGGTCTAAAATCATGTCACGTCTTTATTAGAAACTGTGCTTGATGATATTTCCACGGGAAGTTGTATTCCTCTTTCTGAGTGTCCATGCAAACATGACAAAGTCTACAAGTCCAATGAGGTTTACCAGGAGCGGGGAGAAAATTGGTATGTTTCACATTTCATGTTTTTCAAAAAGTATTATTTTCAATTCATTAGTGTGTGCTTTTTCCTTAAAGTCTTTGTGTTTTCAGTACATGCATTGCAGGTAAATGGTCTTGTGAGAGCCTTCAAATGCATGCTACATGTTCAGTTGAACAGGGTTCATACATAACCACCTTTGATGGTAAAGACTTCACCTTCCATGGAGACTGTGACTACACTCTGGCTAAAGTGAACAGCAAGGTGAATGAGTCAACGCCTCCAACTGTTAAAGATATGCAATCTTCTGATATTAAGGTGGCATTTTATATAGGCTGTACTCAAAATGCTCTATGTGTATTTCAGGATTATGTGAGTCCAAATTTTACCATTCTGGTCCATTTGACACAATGTTCACGTCAACAATACGACTCTTGTCTCAAGACCTTGAAAATTCATTTGAACAGAGACAAAAACAACGTGAGTGTAAACTACAGTAATTATAATAATTTACACTGAGCCACACTCTAATAGCATTTTTTTTTTATTCAGGCCATAATTTTCACCTCTGAAGGCAGAGTGCAGAAGAATGGACAGAAGGTCACTTTGCCTTATAACTCAGGTATATCAGAAACTAAGATTGTAGTTGATCATTTTATCCCAAATATGATCTTCTGATTTTTATTTTTCTGTTGACTCACAGGAGATATCAGTATATTCCATGCTTCATCCTTTCACATCATGCTCCAGACAAGTTTTGGTTTACAAATTCAGATCCAGCATGTGCCTCTGATGCAAGTCTATGTCAGTCTGGAGCAGAGCTACAGAGAAAAGACGCGTGGTGGGTTTTATATTAGCCATTAACCATAATCAGAAGTACAACTATCAGTTAATATGTATATATTAAAATATCAATATACCACTGGTCTTGAAGGTAACAGTAATTGTGATTATTTCTGTGTTGTATTTTTTTCTCACCATCATCAGCCATCATAGTGTAATTAAAAATTTTGGTTAAAAATAAAAAAGAAGAATTACAAATACTTTCAATATGCTCAAAACTGTTCGAGGCAATATTTTTAGAGCCTTTGTACGTACTCGACTTCCTGCAATCTTTAGGTTTATGTGGGAATTACAACATGATGCAGTCTGATGACATGAGGACTCGTCAGGGGATGGTGGAGGGAGAAGAAGGAACTTTTAGTAATTCTTGGAAAACTGACTATTCATGCAAAGATGGACATGGACGACTTGATGACCCTTGTTCTCTTAGGACGGAAAATGGTAAGTTGTTAACTATTATCATCAAGCATTATTCCTTTGATTTTTTTACTGCTCAAGACAGGTTTTCTGTGATATATGTATCTAATCACACAAGAAATACAATAAATTCAAAAATCTTCAAAACTGATAATCTACTTGTAGAAAAGTTTGCCAAGAACTGGTGCCCCTTGCTACGACAGCCAAATAGTACCTTTGCACAGTGCCATTCCGTGGTGGATGCTGAGACTTACTACAAGGTACAAAAAAACCTCTCTGTTTGTCTTTAACTAAATTCAATAGGACTGTAATACCATAAAAATATTCACTGTGTTCTGCAGCGATGTATTTATGCTAGCTGTAACTGTGAGAAGAGCGAGGACTGCCTGTGTGCTGTCTTCTCCTCCTTTGCAAGAGCTTGTGCATCAAAGGGAGTGTTCTTGATAGGCTGGAGAAAGGATGTGTGCAGTAAGTGAAACAGCTCAGTAATGACGTTTTATGGACATTTTCTCTTTCATTAGTTAGTCCAAAACTATGATGTAATGACTATCATATTTTCTATAAAACAGACAAACGCACCAAGAACTGCCCAGCATCTCAGACCTTCTCTTACATACATCAGAGATGTCAGCTGACTTGCAGATCGCTGAGCTCAAAGATGCAGAGCTGCACCTCTGACTTCTTGCCTGTGGGCGGCTGTTCCTGTGCTGAAAATCACTACCTAGATGACAATGACATCTGTGTCCCCAAAGCAAAGTGTCCCTGTTATCATAATGATGAAACCATTGAACCAGGAAAGACCATTAACATCAACAATGACTACTGGTGAGTTATTTAAGGACTACAAATTAAACTAATGATTAACCATGACTATAATGCAAGCAATATAATGCAAGCAATATTGGTACAAACTATAATTTAAAGTCCTTTTGTGTTGCATTGTGTTTTTCTAGCGTATGCACTGATGGAGTTCTTCATTGTGATCCTTTGGCAGCTGGCTCTTCAAGTCAGTTATTAATGATATTCTTTTTCTACTATAAAACTGATTTGTAGTTAATTTACAGAATATTAAAGTAGTTCCTGCTTCTGTTACAGCATGCACTTCTCCAAAAGAATACTTCAACTGCTCCACTGCAGACAAAAGAGATGTTGGAGTGCAGTGTGCTCGAACCTGTTCAAATCCGGACAATGAATGCGTAAGCTGTTTTTGCTGATCAAGACCTACATTTTAGGTCTACTAACTTTTTCAAAATGTAGATACAAAGTCTGCCTTTGTGTTATCAATGTCATGTTGGTTTTACCAATCATCAATTTTTCTATTTTTTGTATTTTTCTTTCTATCCTTCCAGGATGCCACTGAGTGTAAATCTGGCTGTCTCTGTCCCAGAGGCCTCGTCGATGATGGTAAAGGTTCCTGTGTAAAAGAAAACCAATGCCCATGTCAGCATGGAAAGAAACTTTATTCCAGTGGAGAAAAAATCTCTAAGAAATGCAACACCTGGTATGATTGATTGATTGATTGATTGATTGATTGATTGATTGATTGATTGATTGATTGATTGATTGATTGACATAGCATCACTGAAACTGATAATATATTATATTAGTTTTAGTCTTATTACAAAAATGTATTTAATTTCAATCCTTTCTGAAACATTTAGCACCTGCAAAAGTGGAAAATGGGATTGCACAGACAAGAAATGTCCAGGAACATGTATTATTTATGGAAGCGGTCACTATATTACATTTGATGAGAACTCATATGGCTTTCATGGACAGATGTCTTACACTGTAGTCAAGGTAATACATGCCTTTTTATCAAAAATAATTGTATGCTCATTTTATTGTGATTACTCAGAGTTCTTTAGTGGTAACAGAGTCTTATCATATTTGTTCTATTTGTTCACAAGGTGCATTTGCATAAGTAATATATTTTTTTAGTAACATCAGCTGTCAAATAAGCAATTAACTTTACAATATTTAAAGAGATTTAACACTTGATTTTGAATAGTACAGGACAACCTGAATTTTGATTTGATCAGCAGTCTCTGTTTGTATAAAATAAACATGCTAATGCTTGTCTCTTTTAAGAACACATGTGGTAATAAAACACAGGAGAACAACTTCACTGTTATCATAGAAAGTGAGATTTGTGAACTTCCAAACCCCATATGCTTCAGAAAGATCAGGATCCACCTGGGGGTAAGGCCATGTAGCTACCGGCAAGTAGAGGAAAATATTTTTAACTGCAATCTTACATTACATTGAAAGAAATCTCCCTTTACTTTCCATTATAGGAAAAGGAAATCACACTTTTAAAAGGTAAATCATTCCTACCTGTGACTATCTACCTGTACAACTCAAATTGCACAGTAAAAAAAAACAAAATGCAAAAAATACACCCTTTTGCACATTTTTACAGTGAAAACAGCAAACAGTTAAACAGTTAAAGTTAAACAGTGTCAACCCTATATATTGAATCTGTTTGATTTCTGGATGTTTATAATTGCTATTTTTATATGTTGGAGCTATTTCTTATATTTTGTTACTTTGTAATATAATGAATTATTTAATATAGTTTAGTCTGTTGCTGCACTTACTTTCTTGGAGCAACTGTAACCACATATTTTATTTAGGGATTAAGAAAGTATTCTTATTCTGATTTTGATTCTGAAAATGAAGGGGACGTCATTTCTCCAAATGGTACTGAGATTCAGTACACCAAAAGGAAGCTTGGTTTCTATCTGGTCGTTGAATTTGACATTGGTCTAACAGTTATATCGGATCATAAAGCAACAGTTAAAATCCGACTGGAACCACAGTACTCTGTAAGTGACAGTTTAAAAATGAATTATTCTATGTATGTAATGTAATATTTGAAAACATTTCTATGGCAGCAGGAGTTCTTTGGCCTGCTGCAGCGGAGAAAGCGTCACAGTGAGCTCTTGGGGCTGCGCGGAGGCAAGGAGAATAGGTGCACAGGTACATAAATTGACTGTGTGTCTGCTTTCTCCGCTGCAGCAGGCCAAAGACCACACCCCAGCCACAATTTACAAGTGCATATTTGTGAGAATGAAATCCCTTTTCCCGTTTTGTCAGGCCCTTCCTGAAAGAGTCAAATAAACCTTTATCTTTAAATACACATCTTGTTTTTTATGTGAAAGTCAGAACACATACTTTATTACGGTGGCCCCTAGAGACAAAGCACGTACAAACTCCAAAACACTTGCAAACTCCAAAGCACATGCAAACTCCAAAACACTTGCAAACTCCAAAACACTTGCAAACTCCAAAACACTTGCAAACTCCAAAACACTTGCAAACTCCAAAACATGTACAAACTCCAAACCACTTGCAAACTCCAAAACACTTGCAAACTCCAAAACATGTACAAACTCCAAACCACTTGCAAACTCCAAAACACATGCAAACTCCAAAACACTTGCAAACTCCAAAACACTTGCAAACTCCAAAACACTTGCAAACTCCAAAACACTTGCAAACTCCAAAACACTTACAAACTCCAAAACACTTGCAAACTCCAAAACACAACGGAAGTGCTCCAGGACGCTAGGGGCAGTGTTGAGCTCGATTTGCAAAATAAACAGCAAGTTTGTCTGTATGGGACGGTCTAGTCTCTGTTGCTTCCCAGGTTGCCTAGCAACCATGATACTAACCGCTGGAAACGTGTCATACAACTTTGTTCGACAGAAATGAAGGAGAACATATTTTGTTCATTTGTTTGTTTGTTTCTACAAGAGCTTTGTGTGATTTGAGAAGTATCTGAGGCTGAGACCACAGGAGAGTAAAACATGGTTTTTGGGCTTCATTTCCGTACTGAACAGTCATTTAAAATTAGTTAGTAAATAACAATTAGCTAATGTTGTTCATGAGACTAAAGTCATATCACTTTGGTAATGTAAATATAATATGGCCAATATTATAGTTATTATATTAATCATTATTAGCTATTACAGCAGTGAACATGAACTCTGTGTCAAATACTGAGCCTCAGTACAGATTCAAGTTACAGTTATTTATATGTCTTATCACCTTAAATCTTCACTCAAAGACAAGTATCTTTGACAGTGTATATATAGGTGTATCATATATAAGAGACAAATGTTGTTCCTTCATCGGGTGAGGGCCTCCAGCTCGCACTGGAACGGTTCGCAGCCGAGTGTGAAGCAGCGGGAATGAGGATCAGCACCTCCAAATCTGAGGCCATGGTTCTCAGCTGGAAAAGGGTGGAGTGCCCACTCCGGGTCGGGGATGAGTTCCTGCCCCAAGTGGAGGAGTTCAAGTATCTCGGGGTCTTGTTCTCGAGTGATGGGAGAAGGGAGCTGGAGATCGACAGACGGATTGGGGCTGCAGCTGCAGTAATGCGGACGCTGCACCGGTCCGTTGTGGTGAAGAGGGAGCTGAGTGTAAAAGCGAAGCTCTCAATTTACCGGTCGATCTACGTCCCTACCCTCACCTATGGCCACGAGCTGTGGGTAGTGACTGAAAGAACGAGATCGCGGATACAAGCGGCAGAAATGAGCTTCCTCCGAAGGGTGGCTGGCCTCTCCTTTAGAGATAGGGTGAGAAGTTCGGCCATCCGGGAGGGGCTCAGAGTAGAGCAGCTGCTGCTCCACATCGAAAGGAGCCAGCTGAGGTGGTTCGGGTATCTGACAAGGATGCCCCCTGGGCGCCTCCTGGGTGAGGTGTTCCAGGCATGTCCCACCGGGAGGAGGCCCCGGGGCAGACCCAGGACACGCTGGAGAGATTATATCTCTCGGCTGGCCTGGGAACGCCTTGGTATTCCCCCGGATAAGCTGGAGGAGGTGGCTGGGGAGAGGGAGGTCTGGGCCTCTTTGCTTAGGCTGCTGCCCCCGCGACCCGGCCCCGGATAAAGCGGATGAAGATGGATGGATGGATGTTGTTCCTTCAGTATGTTGGCATTACTAAATTTGGCTCATTGCTTACATATATTTATAAAAAGAAAATGTACAAGCTGTGATAACTGTTTCTGATAAAATGAAGAGTAGACTGATATATGAATCATTCCTTTATTGGGTGAGAAAATCAGACCATGTCATAACTGCTTTAAGTCATACAGAATAGATATCAGAGCCTTAAACAGGCTGACTTCTGCTAAATGGGTCAAACTGGGCAGAAAGTATACAAACACATAACATCCTTATAGAATATGATGTAACACTATAGATCAACTTACCTCAAAATATATAAAGCATATAAACAATTACAGTAATATGATGCAACAAACACAGCAGTACTACTAATCCAAAATACTCAAAGCTTCATAGAACTGGAACAAACATTTATTTTTAGGTCCATTCTGCTGCTGATACATACTTTAGGTTTCTGAATATTAAACTTGTTACTGCAAGTGGGTCCCTCAGTCTGTCCTCACTCTGGACACTTGCAGTTGTCACACATGGAAATCAAATGTGTGATAAGCTGCAGGATTCAAACACAAGTGTAACTTATAAATTAATGTTCATACTTTTATTACACAATCAGAGAGAAAGAAAAAGAGAGAGAGTGCAGGACAGACAGACAGGTGACAGTCTCAGGTGTATACACTGCTACAAAACAGCACAAAAGAAGGAGGATTTAGTGTTTGTGTTATTACGAAACAAGGAGAGTTCCCAGATGGTACAGTGAACACATGTGTGACTCCTGTGATTAAAGCATCTTTCTTTCAGCTTAACGAGTGAAGCGTCAGCTCGTTCAAACACACGTTAAAGTCCGTTTGGCTCGACACCACCAAACAGAGGCAGCAATATAACATAGCTAACATTAACAGTGCAGTGAATCCTGCTTGTGCTGTGATATTCAGGACTGCAAACCGAGCAGTATCACCTACTTTCAGCTTGTCGTGTTTGTGGATATATGACTGACTTTAATTATCCATAAAATCATCACATTCTCTGTAAGATTAAAGTCAACTATTGAACGGCGTATATTTTGAAGTAAAGGCTTTAAAACCATCGCTAATGTCACATAACTTTCCCGACATGTGGCCAACAGTAATGTTTTAATGTTCTTCATTATAAAAACATTTGTGCATAAATAAGTGACATAATATTCAGTACTTACTTCTGAAAGTTTACTCTTCGGCGGCTCCGCTTCCGTCGTTTTTTTTCGGCAAAATTATCCACACAACCGCCGCTCTATGAAATCTGGGATATGTTGGGCCATGAAGGGGACACCGACCCATCCTTAAAATTCAGGGACGCATTTGAGGGCCGCATTTCGAGCAGCCTTTGAATTGGGACAGCCTTCGTCGTGTCGCTGTGACGTAATCTGCCTTAAAATGCGGCCTTTAAGGCTGCAGACCCTGAATTGGGATACAGCCCAAATCCGGTCATTGGTACTTCCTGGCTTGTGTAGTTACTAGGTAACAAAAGCTCAACACTGCCCCTAGCGTCCTGGAGCACTTCTGTTGTGTTTTGGAGTTTGCATGTGTTTTGGAGTTTGCAAGTGTTTTGGAGTTTGCAAGTGTTTTGGAGTTTGCATGTGTTTTGGAGTTTGCATGTGTTTTGGAGTTTGCATGTGTTTTGGAGTTTGCATGTGTTTTGGAGTTTGCAAGTGTTTTGGAGTTTGCAAGTGTTTTGGAGTTTGCATGTGTTTTGGAGTTTGCATGTGTTTTGGAGTTTGCAAGTGTTTTGGAGTTTGCAAGTGTTTTGGAGTTTGCATGTGTTTTGGAGTTTGCAAGTGTTTTGGAGTTTGTACATGCTTTGTCTCTAGGGGCCACCGTACTTTATGGAACACATGTCATGTGCTATAAAAAAAAAGCAATGAACTTCTCTTGTTTCTCCAGGGGGAGGTGTGTGGCCTGTGTGGAAATTTTGATGGTAATGCGAAGAATGACTTCACTACCCAGGGTCAGCTGGTAGTGAGCAAACCACTAGAGTTTGCAAACAGCTGGAAACTGTACAGCAATTTCCCAGATCAGACAGCTGATCTTGAAGCTTGTACATCAGCACCCAGAGAAAACTGGGCAAAAATTATGTGTCATATCATAAAAGAGACATTTAACGAATGCCACTATAAGGTAATATGTTTGTAATTTGTCCAAATGAGTTCTATGGCTAATTTTATCATACATATTGTCACATATTTTTAATACATTTTTCGTGATTAAATAGGTAGACCACCTTCCATTTTATGAAAACTGTGTGAAAGATGCGTGTACCTGTGACAAAGGAGGAGACTGTGAATGTTTCTGCACAGCGGTTGCAGCTTATGCTCAGGCTTGTGCTGAGGCCGGTGTTTGTGTTGCATGGAGAACTCCAGAGATCTGTCGTAAGTAGTTATTCTTCACTCACAAAATAAAATGACATTTCAGCTTTTTATATACTTGATTAAATTTTAATTAACAAGTATTTTTGTTGAGTATTCAAATTGTTAAGTATTCAAACTACACAGGGGAAAATCAAAATCGACAGAGCCCATCGGTCCATTGGATTATCAAGACCTAATCACCCTCATGCAATGATTATTAAGGTGCATAATCCAGTAGACAAGATTAGGATCCTCACTGCAGCTAAAGATAATGGCCCCCTGACTTATGATGGACAGATCATTCATATTCGACAAGATTTGGCAACAGGAATAAAAGAGATGCGACGTGCGTTTAACGGAGTGTGCCAAAAACTTATCCAGAAAAATATGCGCTTTTATATGCGCTATCCTGCTACACTACACTTTTCTCACGGAGGGAAAAATTACTCCTTCCGTAAATCTGAAGATGCTCTTGCCTTTTTGGACAATTTGAGTTAAATTGAAGTACACTGACAGCAATTGATTGAATAAGATTAGTTCTATTACGGCACTTAAATATTAGACATACTCTTAATTTAAGGATACCCAGTCCATGTTAAGGTATATTGGAACTGGAAGTTGTACACTTATTAAGGAATGATTTAACTGTCCCGTCCCTTCTTATTTGTTTTTTCTTACAAACTTTATAAAGTAAAACATGTTTAACTCAGAAATATAAATGAGGTTGGCTGGTTCTCTCGGTGGCATGCGGGAGTTTGGAGAGGAAGTTTTGTGTCTTTTTCTTTTCCTTTTTGCCTCTCTGTCAGTGACTTTTGCTCGGTTTCACGAGACCAAGTTTTCTTTTTTGATGGATCGTAGGATCGTTTTTGTGGGGGGAGGAAAGGGGGATTTTAGGGGTTGTTTTTTTTCCTTTTTTTTTATCATTAATATGCGTGGTTATTGTTTCTGTTGTTTATTTATTTTTATTTTATTTTTTTCATGTTTTTGTCTATATAATGTATCTAAAATTACCCGCATTTCCTTCTATGGAAACATCCGTTTGCTTAATTGCAGTAGCGCACTCCGAGAAATGGTTTCCCACACATCATGTTATAATAGAGGGGGAAAAGAAATTATAACAAAAGAGATTGAGCTGATATGACTGACCTTAAAATAATTTCTTTAAATGTTAAAGGGCTGAATAATGTTGTTAAAAGACAAAAACTTCTTTCATTCTTGAAAAAGGAAAAAACACAAATTGCCGTACTTTCAGAAACTCATTTAAATGATTTGGAACACTCAAAACTAAAAAGAAATTGGGTTGGCCAAGTTTTTTACTCATCATATAACACAAAAAGCAGAGGAGTAGCCATCCTTATCCATAGCAAGTTGCCACTAACCATAGAAAAAGTCATAAAAGATAAGGAAGGACGCTACATTCTTATATCTGGTTTCTTATTTAGAGAATCTGTTTCTATAGGATGTGTTTATGGTCCAAATTCAGAAGATGTCTCTTTTTTTCCCAATCTCTTAACCCATGTTTCAGCCATAGCTTCCCCATATTTGGTGTTGGGAGGTGATTTTAATTGTGTTCCTGATCCTAGGGTTGATAAATCTCCACCAGGGAGTGAATTGTCGCTAAGAAGCATTAGATTGAAAGAGTTCTGTTCTGATCTAGAAATTTTTGATTCCTGGCGAGTACCCACAGATAGGGACTTTACTTTTTTTTCTTGCCCCCATCAGAGCTTCTCAAGAATAGAGTTGCTCCTGTAATCCAAGACGGTGTTGGATAGGATGGAAGAGTGTTCAATAAGGTCTTGTCCATTATCTGATCATTCAGTAGTAAGTATAAATATTCACCCACCTTATTTTGAGCCAAATTCCCGCCGATGGAGGATGAATCCTCATTTATTGAGTAACCCCTTATTTATTGAATATATCACTAAAGAGTGGAATGTTTTTATGACCACTAATAAAACGGAAGATGTAAGCCCATCTTTATTGTGGGAAACTGCTAAAGCCTATCTTAGGGGTAGTATTATCTCATACACTATAGCGCAGAAAAAGGCGTCAAAAGAACAACTCGATTTAGAGCACATAATACAAAAACTAGAAGTGCAGTTTAAAATCTCCAGGTCCAAAACTATACTTAAGAAGTTAGAAGCAGCCTGCTCAGCTTTAAATCAATTACTGACTAAAAGAGCAAAGGCAGCAATTTTCTTTGCTAAGCATAAATTATATGAATCTGGGAATAAACCTGGCCGTCTCTTAGCAAAAATAGCAAAAGGCAGGACAGATACAAACGTTATACAATCACTGTTTGATAATAAACATGTTAAGCATTATAAAACAATGGATATTAATCGAATTATGAAGCAGTTTTATATACACTTATACTCATCAGAGTGTAGTAATACAGATGGGAAGATGCGGGAATTTCTAGAGAAGGTGCCTGTTGTATCGTTATCAGAAAGTCACAGAAAAGAGTTAAATAACCCTGTGACAGAGGAGGAAGTGTGCCTTGCTATTAACTCCCTTAAAGGAGGAAAAGCACCAGGGCCTGATAGTTTTTTATAAAACTCTGGGCAGAAACCAAGTCACCTTCTTGTAGGACCATTGACTGATATGTTTTTAAGAATGACCAATTGCCCCCAACACTCAGACAGGCTAATATTTTGTTAATTCTAAAGAAAAATAAATCTCCAGATAGGTGTGAATCATACAGACCGATCAGTCTCATCAATGTCGATGCTAAATTACTCTCCAAGCTATTAGTAAGGAGGCTTGAGGGCATTCTCCCACTGCTCATAAACCCTGATCAAACAGGCTTTATCCAAAATCGTTTCTCATCTACAAATATTAGACGACTATTAAATATTATACAATACTCGAATCAGACAAATCATAAAGCCTATGTTATATCTTTAGATGCCAAAAAGGCATTTGACAGAATCGAGTGGACATATCTATTTAATGTATTAGAGAGATTTGGCTTAGTTGAGGGTTTTATTGCATGGATTAAAACTATCTACAAATTTCCAGAAGCTTGTGTCATAACTAATGGTGTACAATCATCAGCGTTTCCATTGCAAAGAGGTACGAGGCAAGGCTGTCCCCTGTCCCCTCTCCTCTTTGCATTAGCACTTGAACCTCTAGCTGAGGCCACTGGCCAGCACCAAGATGTGCATGGTATAACAGTGGGTGGAACAAATCATAAGATAGCATTGTATTGCTGACGATATTCTGCTGTTCTTATCAAAACCAGAACAATCAATACCAGCTATTATGTCTACTATACACGAGTTCAGCTCATTCTCTGGTTACAGAATTAATTTTGGGAAATCAGAAGTTATGCCGCTGGGTGATCAGATTAACTCTTTGCCAGATATCTCTAATCCCTTTCAATGGTCCCCCAGCAGCTTTACATACCTTGGGCTAAACATTCCACCAGTTCTTAAAGATTTATGGAAACTGAACTTATCACCCGTTATAATAAAAATTAAAAAAGATTTAGATAGATGGCAAAAACTGCCGCTTTCTCTTATGGGGCGTGTGAACTTAATCAAAATGAGTATTTATTATATCCCCTACAAATGCTACCTTTATTGATCACTCAGAAAGTTTCTTGTGATATAGAAAAAGCCTTTTCAAAATTTATCTGGTGTGGCAAGAAACCTAAATTAAGGATTGGAACTCTACAATTGCCTATAGATAGGGGAGGCTTAGGCTTACCAAATTAAATTTTTTATAATTGGGCATGTCATAGCTGTATCTTATGGGAGTGGCTACATGCTTATCTAAATTCTCACTCTCACCTAGACTCTTGGTCCACTTTACCTTATTCCCTTTGGAGCTTAGCTGTCTGTGACAAAAAAAACAATATTAAAAATGGGGATTAAGAATAACCCAATCATTTATAATACAATAAGGGTCTGGGGGGAAATGCGTAAAAGGTTGGGTAGAGAAGATTGCACTTCATTCTTGACTCCTTTACTGAGAAACAAAGATTTTGTTCCAGGAATGTCTTGTAGCATGTTCGATAAGTGGCACAAAAAGGGATTAAGGGTAATTGGCGATTTGTATCAAAACAACACACTGATGAACTTTGAGCAATTGCAGTCAAATTTTAATATTCCTAGAGACCACTTTTTTGGCTTTCTCCAGGTTCGTAACTTCGTTCATTCTAGAATTCCACAGTCTTCAGAAATAGTTATATATGATGATATTGAGACATTTCTTATTAAGCGAAAAGACAGAACCCAATACAAAATCATACATCGCCTTTATATAGCTCCTAATGTCTTGCATAAGATTGCACCTCATATTTCCCATCTTTGTAGTAAATGTCAAAAAGAAACTGGCACTTTTTTTCATTACTTTTGGGAATGTAAATTAATCAAAAGATTTTGGAGCTTCATATCTCAAGAACTAAGTAATATTTTTAACAACCTGATTCAAAGGGACCCCGGGTACTTTCTTCTTGGCCTACCCTCAAAAGAATTAACATTGAATCACTTGCAGCGCAAATTATGTCACAAACTATTGCTGGTAGCTAGGAAATGTATTCTCATTAATTGGGTTAAGGATAAACCTCCCTCTGTGACGTTGTGGTACAGAGAATTATTTAAAGTTATTCCTCACGAAAGAACTGCTGCTATTTTAGGAGGAAATGAGGGTCTCTTTCTCAATGTTTGGTCCCCTTTGCCTTCTTATTTGCCAAATGATTTGTCCCAACTGTTGAGGGGGGGGTGGTTGCGATTAAGATGTTCTCAGTTAAATAGGAAGCAAGTGTAAAGGACAATTCATTTTTGGAGTTTATCTTTTTCTCTTTCTATATCTGTGGGTAATTGAGTGAAAATATGTTTTTTTGTGTCTGTGTGGATGTGGGATTTTTTGGGGTGGTGTTTTTTTTTTTCTTTCTTCTTCTCTGTTTGGTTGTGTTGTTTTATGCTATTCTTGATAAACGAATAAAAATTGTATATAAAAAAAAACAAGTATTTACTACTTGTTTTATTACTGGGAATCAAGCAGGTTCTAATATA